GCTATCTGTGCTAAGGTGGAATTTTTATGTTTCGTAAAAATCGTTTAGAGTACCCACGCTCTTTCAGTTTTGAGAAAACAATCGTACAGGCTTGGTTGAAATCAGAAGATCTTGTACAAATTCGATGAAATCGTAAAACTTGTGACTTAATTATACCAGAAAAGGTATGTTTTGGGTGAAAGGAGCTCTTGTGCAAGAGTTGATGAGTATCAGTTTCTTTGAAATACACTTTAATATCCAGTTTATTTGTTTCTGCTATGGAATCTCCCTTAAAGACTGTGGTATCGAGAAAGTCTATGCTTTTGTCACTCACGTTTGCGGTTAGTTTGATAGAAGGATGGTGGTTGTTGAGAATTTCAAAGAATTCCCAAAACTGTTCGATAGAATAAGTCCAAACCATAAAAATGTCATCAAAAAATCGTCCGTAAAAAAGTGGGTCAAATGGACAGAGGGGCAACACCTCACGTTCCCACTCTGCCATGAAAAGGTTTGCGTACGAAGGGGCGAATCGTTTGCCCATTGCTGTCCCTGAAGTTTGTAAATATGTTTTACCATTAAATGTGAAATCGTTTCGACTAAGACAAATCTCTAAAAGCTGTAGAATTGCATCGTCGGGTCTGTTTGGATCTGGGTTTCTATTAAAAGCTTTACGAACTGCCGTTAAACCAGTAGTGTTATCGATATTGGTATACATAGAAGAAACGTCGATAAAAATTAAAATAGCATTAGAGGGAACTCGAAGATTTTTTATTTTATTGACAAAATCGGTTGTGTCTTTAAGGTAGGCGCGATGTTGGCATGCTAGAGGTAGTAAGAAATGATCAATGTATTCTGACACTGCATATGACTCACTACCACAGTCAGATATAATCGGGCGGCCTTTAGGGATTTTATTCGAGATAAACCACTCCTTGGTTGGATTCTTATGGATTTTAGGCAAAGTGTACAAATGTCTCTCGCGACAATCAGGTTTGGCAGACAGATAGTCATATTGTTTCTGTTTGAGATAACTAGTTTTGACTAAATCGGCAAGAATATTATTAATCATGTTAGCAGTTTCTTTGAAAATTGGTTTCGGTAAAATGGCATAATGTTTAGTATTATTCAGTTGATTCTCTGCTTCTGAAACGTAATCCTCCCTATTCAGAATGACACAACATGAACCTTTGTCACTCTTTTTAATAACAATGCTATCGTCTT